CTGTAGCCCTCTTCTTCCCCTGTTTTTTCTACTCTATTTATCTGAGACACAGCACAAACCTTTACTTATACGTTTAAAATGCCGTATTTTTAAAAATAGTTTCATTTTATTTGCTGTTGTTTTCAAAGATAAACCTTTTTCAGTTTTCACGGTTCAGGAGTATTTTCTGCTTCTTTTTAAGCACAATCTTTTGCTAAAACTACTTGAGAAGATATCAATGAAAACAAATCCGCAGACCTTGAGAAGAGATTTTGTGTGTGAAGTTACTAACACTGATTTTACCTTTCCCACCTGCAGTAAGTAGGTGATGCCCAAGTAGTCTCTGCTCAAATCAGTCTTTTGACCTGAATTGCTCTGATTACTAATCTAATACGGACTAATCTACATTTCTGTTGGTGTTTTTGCTCATCAGCTGCATTGTTTTATTTGGCATTTGTTTTTGCATTTATAATGCTCCCATAGTTAGAATCAGACCTTCCCCATTTGACAGGCTATAAAAGGTGTTAAATCTTTTCAGTTTAAAACCTCTCAGAACTAGGAAAGTTGGGATTAATATGAATATTTATTGCTCTTTTCTAAAGACATAGTGAAATAAAGAAACCTATTTTCTTCAGATACTAATTAGACAGGTACATAATTAAATATCTTAAATAATGAAATAGATGCTCCGTAAAAGGCTAAAAATATCTGGCCATGAATTAGTCATTTAGACTATATTAATAAATAAGCTCTGGATGTCAGTTTGCAAAGATTTCTCCTCTGTAATTTGACCACCAGTACGCTCATTCCACACACATCAGAATCCCCACGCAGACACCGCTCAGATGCATTTCTCTGTGCTCCTGGATCACTGCATCTGGTGGATCTAGAGGGGTTTTGTGCATGCAGTGAATGTACACATAACCTAGTGGGGCATAGCATACTCTTTGCTAGGGAGGCTTGAGGACAGAGAAGGTTTGCACTATTGCCATGCGCATGCATGGACAGCTCAGCCTTTGTAAAACTGTGTTTCTACCTGCTTAACAGAATGACTGAACTGGCTCAAGATAAGGGCTTTGTGCAGAAATAGAGGGTTGCTGGGTCTTTGGAGGATGCATATGTGGCTATGTGGCAAAACTTTTTAAGTGCTGAGCTGTCTTCTTGTCAGGGAGGGATAATTTTGTCCCCAAAGCAACTGGAGTATCTGAGTGCTTCACTGTCATAGATGTGTTGTATTCTTGGGAAGGCAATACCCTTCACTGCTTCCTTCTCCTTATTTGCAGAACAAAGATAGTAATGTTTATATAACCCATCCAAATTAAGTGTTAAGAGGACTCAGCAATCAGTGTTCATAGAACATTCATAGAACAAGAGAGAGGTAAAGTTTAAAATAACTGTTTATGGCTATTTTTAGCCAGATTTCCTAAGGAAATTACACTTCTGTGATCCTACTGCCTGTGCTTGCTTCACTGCTCTTGTTCACCCTTTAATAACTATTGAAACTGCTGGTCTGTTTCAAGCAAATTTGACACAGCTGCAGTGTTTCTAGGACACTCTGGTCTTGCAAATTCTATGAAAATAGGCAGGTAAGCAGAAGAAAGGCAATTGGATCATGTTAGGATTACCTGGATAACAGGCTGTGATTGCAAGCACAGCCAGCTTTGTAGGTGCTAGAAAATCCACTTAGGAACTAGACCATGGCCACTAGAAAAGTAATGAACAGACTCACAGAACAGGAAACACAAAAACTCCATAATTTCCCTTGCACAGGAAGGTTCTTCTTTAATATGGTTGACTTACGTGATAGGGAAAGGCAAATTGTTTTTGGAAGAAAAAAACCCACCCCACTACTCCACTGGCCTTTTGCCCTTTAATAAAACCTTGCTCAAACTAAATCTTTCTGAAACATTTAGTTACTGCCTTTATCTTTCACTTTTTTTTCTTGCATATTTCTGGACTGTGGCCAGTGTGAGAAACAGATTGCTGAATAAAGCAGAAAAAGCTGTTCTCAGGGTACTTCCATGCCATCCGAAGGCTAGAAATGCTGTAAATCTTAAGCCAGTCTGCTCTTGAAACCTTGAAGCTTGCTGACAGTGCACTTCCTTAGTCTGTGCTATCAGATATAACTGCTGACTCTTCTTTTAGTCTCAGGTCTCACCTTTTGAGGGCTGGCTCACAGGTACCAAGGAAGTACTGCTGTTCTGCATGGTACCAGATGACTGTGAAGGTATTCAGGGCGGCTGTTGCTTTGGTATGTAAGCAATCCCAATGTGAACCAGCTCTTGTGAATGGTCTAGGACCACTACGTGGATGCTGTTACAAATTCAGCTTTGGGGAGAGGAGATGGACATTGCCTCCTACTCTGCATCCGCTCTCCAGAGAGCTGCAGCAGAGCAGAACTGCTGCCTATGTGAAATCCCTGCTGACTCTCTATGCGTGGGCAGACAGTGTGCTGGGAAAACGTCTTTATGTTTCGGAGAGAGAAGCATGGGAGAGGAGGAAAGCTCCTGTGATGCTACTCGGTGCTGTGATCTCCATCACTGTGTGAAATGTCCCAGGAACCAGTGCTAGGAGGGTCATATCAGCTGGGGTAGGAAGGAGCCTGTAATACTTCTGTCTTCAAACTTTCTCAATCTTGCTGATTCTAGCAATGTGCCATTGTTTAATAATTCTCATAAGACTGTATTGGTTTAATAGTACTTATACAACTGCATTCCTTTTAGCATTAAAAATTTTTTCATATGATAC